TGATCATGGGTATAGAAGGATTTTCTTACGAGGAGAAGTTGATTAATTTGGGCTTGCATTTATTGGAGTTTAGAAGAATGAGAGGGGACCTCATTGAAATGCTTAGGAGACTTGACATGGTGGATGTGAGAAGTTGTTTCCCCTTGTGGGAGAGTCTAGGACCAGACGGTGTAATCTCAGAGTAAGGGGCCACACTTTTAAGACAGAGAGGAGAAGTAATTAGTTCTCTTAGAGGGTAGCGAATCTGTGGAGTTCATAATGTAGAGGGCTGTACAGGGTGGATATTGAGTATATTCAAGGCTGAGATACAGCTTTTAATCATTAAGTGAATCAAGGGTTTTGAGCAGTAAACAAGAAAGTTCAGTTGAGGGTGATCAGATCATTTAATGATGGGTGCAGACTCGATGGGCTGAATGGCCTCCCTCTGCTCCTACATCTTATAATTTGACTGTTGGGGTGGATAATAAAAACTGGTCCAGTCACTGAAGCTCTCAGCCCCTGAATGAGTTAAAAATAAAATGAATTAAAATATCTTCCATTCTTTCTACGGTGACAGGTCTAATTTTCATTGCTTGTTCAATTCTGAAGGTGGTTAGCAACAGTAGTAATTTTGAAGCCAGTTTGCAAGTTTCTGAGACATTGGGCAGAAGCTTGTAGGGGCCTGAATGAAGTGGGCTTCAGCAGAATCACATGAGAAGTCCAACTCGGCCGATCTCAATGTTGGGAGCTATTTGCTACATCTTTGAGCTAAGTTTGAGGAATTGAGGCATATTCTCACTAGGCGGCAAGGGAGTGCTATTAAAGTGCATTGTTGTTTGTTAAATGAAGATTTCACCTTATGACTATGCAGCTTCCTATCCTATCACCCACCAGAGGCTAACTAGGCTTTGAGACTTCTTGATGTAGATATCAGAGTGATTTCCTAATGACTTCTGCTCACTGCTGCCTGTGAAGAGTTTCCATGATGCTCACCACACGACAGCATCTCTGGGCACGATCCATGGGCACCAGCCACATATACCTCAGAACCACAAACACCAGTGCCTGATATTTGCCAACCTCTTATGATCCACCTGGCATCTCTCTGATCCTCTTGTAGCACACTTGGAGAGTACAGACATTAAGATGGCAGCAGAGTAAGATGCTCCAGTCGGAGATCCTCTGCTCCACCTGTTGTTTTTCTCTTTTATCCTTCTTTTTTTTCAAACTTCTAAATTCAACTTACTGCAGATGAATGGAGGAGACCAGAGGTTGTAGCAAGTACCGGAAGTGGTCGCGAGGCCGTGGGGGGGCGGAGAGCCCAGGCAAGGCCCCGACGCGAGGCCGTGGGGGGGGGGGGGGGGGGCCCGGGGAAGGGCCCGGGGGGGGGGGTGGGGGGGGGGGGGGGCGGAGAGCCCAGGCAAGGCCCCGACGCAAGTTCAGTGAGTCCCAGAGGGGCGCCTGTGGGAATGGAGAATCCAGGTGAGTCCCGGAGGTGTGTCTCAGGCCAGGCCAGGCCAGCATGGGAGCAATGAGTCCTGGAGGTGTGTCCCAGGCCAGCATGGGAGCGATGAGTCCTGGAGGTGTGTCCCAGGCCAGCGTGGGAGTGGAGAGTTCAGGCGAGTCTCAGAGGCGTGTCCCAGGCCAGGCCAGCTTGGGGGCTGGTGAGTCCAGGTGGATCCCAAGGGCTTGGTGTATAGTCTAAAAATCAAAGGCTTTTAAAAAAGAAAACTTCTTCATTCTTTGTTCTAATACTGAACTTCATTTATGATTCTCTGTACAAGTGTGTAACAAACACTTAAGTATTCTGTACCTAGGTGCCATGTACCTCATATGGTGCCAAAGCGGCAACATTACAAACTTTTCACCACACTCATTTGAGTGCACATGATAATAAAGGCTATTCGATTCTGATCTATTGTGGGGCATGCCAGCAACCAGCATTGAAAGGCTGCTGCAAGAACACTTTGCACACAGGGTCTGGTGCACAATTCACGGATTGGACCAGGCTGTATCTCAGTAGTACTCACTTGCACTCTTATCGCTCACTCATTTCGCACATATGTGGATGCTCACACCATCTACACAAGGTTGGGTCATATGGGATTAGGGATATTTTATTCGCTTGGATAGGTGACAGGCTGATGGGCAGAAGTCAGAGAGTTGGGACAAATGGGTTTTTTCCTGGATGGTGAGAAATAACTAGTGGGGTGCCAAAGGGTTCAGTCCTTGGACCCCAGCTATTTACAACCTACATTAATGACTTGGATACAGGGATAGAAGGCCCGATAGCCAAATTTGCGGATGACATAAAAATAGGCAGGACGGTGAATTGCAATGAGGAAATAAAAAACTTTACAAATGGATATAGATAGGTTAGGAGAGTGGGCCAAAATGTGACAGATGGAGTTTACCGTGGATAAGTGTGAGGTGTTGCATTTGGGTCAGAGAAGTGGGAAGGTGACCTATTATCCAAATGGGAAAAGACTTCGGCATACTCCAGTGCAGAGGGATTTGGGTATCCTTGTTCATGTGTCACAGAAAACTAGCATGCAGGTACAGCAGATACTAAAGAAAGCAAATGGAATGTTGGCTTTCATAGCTGAAGGAATAGAATAGAAAGGTAAGGAAGTATTGGTGCAACTATACAAGGCATTGGTGAGACCGCACTTGGAGTATTGTGCATAGTTTTGGTCCTCTTATTTGAGGAACGATGTAGTGGCATTGGAGGCAGTTCAGAGGAGGTTCACTAGATTGATCCCAGAGATGAGGGGTTTGTCGTATGAAGAGAGATTGAACAGTTTAGTCCTATACTCTCTGGAATTTAGAAGAATGAGGAGAGATCAAATGGAGGTATTCAAGATGATGAAAGGTTTGAATAAAATAGACATGGAGAGGATGCTCCCTCTTATGGGGCACTCTAGGACAAGAGGTTATAGTCTTAGGATAAGGGGTAGCAAATTTAAAACCGAATAGAGGAGAAACTACTTCTCCCAAAGGGTGGTGAATCTGTGGAACTCACTACCCCAAAGTGCGGTGAATGCTAGGACAGTGAGTAAATTTAAGGAGGAGTTAGACAGATTTTTAATTGGTAATTGGTTGAAGGGTTACGGGGAGAAGACAGGAACATGGGGGTGTGGCACAGCAGACTTCGATGGGCCGAATGGCCTAATTTTGCCCCTATATCTTATGAACCATCTCTGCCTTACCTTGCTATTCACACAGTCACACATCAGGTCACCTTGCCTTGCTGCTCAGAGTCTCAGTCATGGGGTTTACATCTTGCTGTACATCACTGGGTGATGACAGTTTCACACCTGTGCCACATGCCAGCGGCTTGCCTGGCAAACACATTATAAGGGCAGCAAGCAGCAGTGAAAATCCTAGGGTCCCCACTGAAGTCCACGGAGGTATCCCTCAGTCAGGGGGCCCCTAAGTGAAGGGCAGCCCCTGACACTAGTCCAGGGGATTAGCCAAGGTCAGGCATCTGGTTTGAGTGTCCTCCTTCAGGGGATTCCTGCCTCTACAGTCCAAGGAGTCAGACACAGTCTGCACAATGGCTATATAGTGGCCAGATGAAGAGATAGAGTTAATGTGGTTGGGGAGGGGGGAGGGAGCGCACTGCCATAGTCAGTCTGCTGGATCCACTGACAGAAACCAGAGTAAATGTAGGTGGGGAACACGAGGTAGGCCACTGCTACAGGAAGGAGACTCAGTGATGGGGTTTGGGAGCTGTAGGTTAGGGGCTGGAGGGATGACAATTGTAAAGGAGGGTAACTGTATTTGTAAAGAGGTGATGCAGTAAAGCATGGATGGCAGCAGTGTGATGTGGGTGGGGGTCTTTGCCCACCCTGGCTTCAAGGAGAGGGACAGTGTATGATCTGGTGCCAGCCTGGTCACCTCAAATGCCAAGAGCTGGCGTGGCGTGGGGGTGCTGGAAAGTGGGCCAGTGCAGGCTCTTGTCAATGGGTTAGGTGGGGACCTGGGAAAGTGTGAAGCCTATGGGAAGGGCTATCAGAAAGGGTGTTCAAAGCCTCACCAATACAGAGAGCCAGAAGCTGGAAGCAACTGCCCTAACAGCATCCACTTTTGCCCTCCTTTATACTGGAAATTAAAATGATACAATGTGGAAGAAAAAGATTGCAATCACACTGGGAGTGGGCACGGTAAGTGTCTTAATCTATAACAAAGGGGGCTGAAAGGTCTATCAATGTGAGGAGGAGAACAATACATACAGACTCATGCACTGTACAGGAAACAGACCTAATCTCTGGCAATCCCAATTCATTGGCTCCCTATACGCTGTACATTTTACTGACCATTCCATTCATACCAATGCTTTTGCACACAGTGGCCCGGGAAAGAACAGAAACATTTCACCACGAGGGGCAATGGTGCCAGCAAAACCAACTTCTTTATCTTGTTTCCAAATGTTGCAGCAGGTTCTCAACACAGACACTGGTCCAATACATTGTTACATCCTGCACGGACAGGTCTTTATGCATCATGCTGGCACAGTTACATTTGGGGCTGCGCAGAGGTTCAAACAAGCAGACACATTGCAAACAAATAACATTTATGCAAGCATATGTACAGTGCAATGTCACCCATGCCTCCTCAGCGCCCTCTTTTCCTGTCCCTCCTACTACATCTCGGTTTTGCTTCAGGTTCTGCAGGTAAGCTGGAGGGAGCCTGCTTGGTAACAGACCACTGGCCCTGGAGGTTTGGTTGGGTGATGCTGGAACATTTGTGCCTGGATTGTCCAGACATGCTGAAGGTCTCCTTGCCAGAGACAAGTGGACCCTCCTTGACTTCAATTTTTACATTTTGGAGATATAAATCTAAATATAAATGGATTTATATCTCAGTAATTTTGATGGCAATGTTAATAATAATAAAAGGTCTGTGTTTCTTAAACTTTATTACTTTTGCCTCCAAATAAACTGAATATACAAGGAGCAGAGGACTTGCCCATACTAGTTTTAGCAGAATAAAGTAAAAATGAAATCAAGAAATCTTACTTCCTCCTGGAGGAACATCACGTTCAAATATACACAGTCGGTATCCAAATTGTTTTTCTAGAATTGCAGGTAATAGTTCCAATGCAAATTGTTGTTCTTCCTTAGTATCAAGGAGGGTCTTTTTACTCTCAAGGAGTAACACATATGCGTCATATTCCTTACCGTCTGAAAATTAAATCCAAAACATTAGCAGCAATCAGTGCAATTAAAACTTATTTTTTGCTTAAAGCCCGCTAGCAATTTAGGATGAACAATAAATGCTGGCTTTTCCAGAGATGTTCATATCCCACAAACAAAAAAAAAATTCACTTTAATGCTAAGCCACATATATAGAAACTGGAATTTCCAGTTTTATTGTATCTTGTGAATGCCCCAATATACCTTCTGAAAACCCAGGTAATTTTGCAAAACAAAATGAGTCCAATGCCTGAGAAGTAATACTACTTGTGCACAATTTGTGGTTCTAAATGTAGTAAAAGGAAGGAGAAATGTATCATGATCAAAGCACTAAAAATGAGCATATTTTCCATCTGTACAGTTCACGCCTCAGACTCCACTTTGTTACATCAGCAGGGCTTTGATGATGAATCTGATCTAGCAGGGCCATACAGCACATGGTCCCCTCAGATTATTTCAGGACTTCTATCAGAGTTGTTATTGGAGATCAGGGTTCAGCTTAGCTTCATTTCTGCTTCTGAGTCATGAAGTGAGGCTTCATGGCAGCAAGTGGAGCCTAGAATTATACAAGGTGCAGGATTTCCCACACCCACAGCTGAAATGATGGGAAACACTAGCTGCCCTGGGGCCATTTAATGCACAATTCGCTGTTGTTAGACCGGACTGACATTGCTCGCCCTCAGGGACAGGGAGTCACATTTCGGAGATCTACCAGCCAATCGGTATTTCGGAACAAAATGGATATTGGATCAGGATCTGAGTCAATGTAGGTTTTGTTGTGTGACAAGTTGGCAGCGTCAGGTTAGTTTGGGGAGGGTGCGGTGGGAAGCTGGGCATTGAGATACGAGAATGAAGGGTGAGAGAAACTTGTAGCAAAACTTTAAGGGGGGCCTCTGATGGGTCGAGGAATCCCCTTAAAGGACAGTCCACCACCAGGCCATGAAGGGAAACCCACTAAGTTGGTTGATTGGCGTGGTTCCTTTCCAACACTGGTTAAATTCCAGCAGTGGTGAGATGACACTGGTAAGAGGGAATTCATTCCTATTATAGCCTTAATTGACCTATTGGTGGGAGGCCAACCAGCCCCTCGCCAACGCCTGTATAATCCTGAGGGTAGGGTAATGGGCAGGTGGGCAGTGAACAGGCCCCCTGTTTGATTTAACAGGTCCCATATCTTCACATCCACCATCTGGGAAATGTAATCCAGCCCATGATTGCTAAATAAATGTTAATGTACAACAAATACAGTGGTCACTGGTTCAGTCAGAAGGGTTAGCTCTGGGCCATACTCCAAGGAGAGACTGATGCATTAATGCTTTTTATTTAATTGATGTACAGCTGAGACACTTCATGAAGTGTTAGCCTTGGTTGTATCCCATTGAGGAGAATGTACTTCAAAGACAAAAACTGAGGAAAGTCATGAGAAACCACCCCCCTAATTATCTCAGGCAAATAGCTCATAAGTTCTTTCCGTATGAGTTGAGTTAGGACTTACCCTTGGGCAGAACATCAATTTACCAAGATGGACCAATTTACAAATACAGTGACAGCTAAAACAACCATGTTTTTCATACTTGTTATCTGGAAGTGAGAAATGCAAGCCAGGGTACATTTATTGCTGTCCCTCTATGTTCTTAGAATAAGCTAGTGTTTGTTTTGCTTGTGTCAGTCCATATTGGTAGGTCACTGAGTTATGCAAAATTTTGACTCGATGGTGTTGTCGAGATGAGGATTGTATATGTTTGGAGGGGAACCTGTAGGTGAAATCATGCCCATAAGCAAGAAAACAGAATAAACCTGTATTTGTATAGCAGCTTTCACATTCTCAAATCTTCCCAAAATGTTTCTGAATGACTTTCAGTGTGATCACCGTTGTGTCACACAAAATTACTACTTTAAAGATACAAGAATTGTATTTTCTTTTTTAAAAAACTGTTTCATATTCCTACCTTCAAGAGTATCATCTCTACCAGTGACATCTCTGAAGCAAAGGACAATTTGTACATGGAAATATAGACACACAATCGCCACAAAGACAAGTACAACAATGGAAGTTAATAATTTAACAACTCCATGAACATTGCTCTTGCCTGCAAGAGAAAACAATTGTAAATAATTAATGTTGCTGTAGCTGACTTCTTTTTTACAAAACAAATATATCTTCAATGGATCAGAAAAACATGACAGACACATTCAGTTCAAGATTACCTTTCAGACCATTTTCTTATCTGATGTAAGACACTTACATTTTAAAAGATCACTTATGCAAAAAATTCCAAGATACTGTTTTGTTTCACAGCCCTGTCGCATGTGCGAAATAATACTTAACAAGCAGATTAAAATATTACAAAGCAAAATTGTTTTATCATAACGTTTAAAGAAACATTTCACAGGTTATGGTTAAGTCCATTAGTTTACATTGACCTAATGCGTGAGACTTTGTTTTTGTCACTATATTCCAGACATTTGGCCCAGCTTTTCAATCTGCAGTCTCTATTTCTTTCCATGAATATCAAAAATTGTCAGGGGGTTATCCAACTGCAGTGGAGTTCTAACTCACATACTGTGCACTAATCAGAGGCTGATGTTACTATTCACGCCCTCCTACCTGCAGTTTTAATTTTGGTTTGAGTAAGGACATTGACAGAGGTCAGCATGAAAGGGACGAGAATCTGACGTGTTCTTTCAGTAATTTCATCCTTTGCAGAGCCAGGAAGATCAGCAATATTGAACAGTCAAGGGGCACTCAATTTTCCAGAGACTGCCGTCTATTTCCTCCCCATGTTAGCTATAAGTAAAGGACAGTACCTTTCTCTTGCAGAATAATGTATCCAGAAACAATGTGGTTGGGAGTTGTTAAAACACAATTAAAGATTTGATTCAGATGCTCCTCTTTAATTTGAGTAAACACCAATGGACGTATAGTATATCTTCCGTTGTTTTTAATGTCAGTTCTGAAATATACAATGTTGTTGTTATGTCAATGTAAATTTAATTAGTTGATTTCATATTCCCTTTGTAGAGCCATTGAAATGACATAAAAACTAAATCAAAACTTGTTTCTATTTATTTACACACAGAAAATCATTCAAAGATGAATAAAGGTATGACTAAAAAAGGCCAAAGCAAAAATTGACAGATTCAGCAAAGTTAAGGAAAGTCGGTGATGTCTCCAAGAGGTAACATATAAAGCAGGAGGAAAAGGTTCCAAAGATGGATCTTTGGGGTTTTCTGAAGGTGACCATATCAGTATAGAAAGCCAAGACATTGGTCAAGATGCTTTAGCTATAATGAGATTGAAAAGGTGTCAAAGAAGAAGGCAAAATTCCATTCAGCTGGTCAATGAGGAAATATTCTGTAGAAAGTTGAAGTGATCACATACTTTAAATACTCCAGACAGATCAAGGAGACCAAGGAAGAAAAATGCACCATTGTCACAGTCACAGCTAGAAAGAATGTCAGTCAGAATATTAGTCAAAACCGCTTCAAAGAGGGAGGAAGATGAACTGACAGCTGAAGGAACCCCTTAGAAAATGAGTGGGGTAGGTGTCAGATATGCCATAAGAAGCCCCGTAGCCACCAACAGATGTTAAATATTTGTTAATTTAATATTTTAAAAACTTTCCTGTGAAGCAGAGTACAGCAGACTTACTCCCCCAACTCTACCAATGCCAAGACCACTAAACCAATTCTCCTCCCCCTCCTCCTCCCCTGCAACCATTATTCACTTAAAGCATTTCTGGGATCTAATTCCAGTCAATTTCTGCCATGGCACAAGGCCCAAAATTGGATCTTTAGAATAGGTGAGTAGGCAGCAAACACACCAATCGCTTGCATGCAAAATGTTAAAAGTGTCTGAGGGCTAATTTCAGACTTATGCCTTAAAAGTGGGCAGCTTTCCACAGACTGCTGAATCCTGGGCCCATTTCTAGCCTGCAATTTGTTCACATATGCAGATATTATTTAGTTCATTTTGCAAAGCTAAATCAGAAGTATTAGGTTGTTGAAGTGTCACCCTCCTTACAATCCTCCATTGGCCATAATACATCTGAAGCTTAGCCATTCCTGAATATCAGTGCCCGTTTCCTTCACTACCTCCCATTCCATTTGTGCTCCGAATTCAGCTCTCATCTTCACCCCCTTAAGTCCAACTTAACTTCTAAGCATGGGCAGAGCTATTTTGATCAGGTCCAGTTTTACCAGGCCACGCCTGTCTTTGTCAAAACTACTTAATGTGCTGTGTGCTTTGGAAAAGTATAGATAAAACAAAGTTCCTTTTTACTCTTTGTTCATTTATCTCCTCTGAACCATATCCCCTGTCTACACTGTCACTTCAAAATAAATGAGAAATTCATAGATTACTTCATCTCCCAACTAGACTCCAGCCATTTAGTTGCCTCTGCTGCTCTTCACTGGCCAGCATCCTGAACCTTGCTTTCCATGCCTGTCCTGGACCCATTCTAATATGATCACTATTCGTTTCTACACAATTCAAGCTCATTTCATCTCTAAGACCCTACTGTACCTTCAATCCCATTTCCACTAACTGTTCACATGGCTTCAATCCCTAATCCTAATCAACATTTACAACCAATGTTGTAAATTATTCCCTTTGCTGAAACTTTCATTCCTTTAATGAGTTTCTTTCTTGTAAATGCATCAGTTATGGAAATTTAAAAACATGTATTTAGGAAAATAAACATATAATTATTAAACCTATAATGACATCACAATGAGGTGAACTGCAGGCATTCTGCTCACAATTGATGTTAAACAGAATTTTGAATAGCTGGGAAAGCCCTTATTTGCCTACAAACATGCTCTATTACAAATAAAATCTTTAATAAAACATAGTAGATCAGTAAACACGTGAAACGTATCATTATTTACAATTTGTTCACACATTACAATGGCCTGACTTTATACAGTTAGGGTATTGGAAAATGCTGGAAGTTAGGGCTAGAAAACAACATTTTCTGCTTGGCGTGCTGTTTGCAGATGATTGTGATACAGTTCATCATTTTGTCAATGCAGTTAAACATACTCTGTGTTCTCATATTGCAGTGTGAAATCTCTGAATCACCGGCTCAGGAATCAGGCGGGTGAATAGGCAGCAATTCCCTGGACACTTCAGCATTCTTGACCTCCTCAAAGTCCCCTCTTGAAGAACATACTGCATCTTCACTTACCTCATCCATCTCTTCCATTATGCAGCATAAGGTGTCATCTATCTCAGCAGAAGTTTCCATGGTTGCCTCTGCTGTCCTCGCGCAAACAAGCAAATGGTCAGCAGCTTGGTTGGTCTCAGCTTGCATGGTCACAGTCCATTAGAACTCAGCATGGCAGCAGCAATTTGCATCTGTGGCTTCCTCACCATCTATCACACCTTCTTCCTAATGAAGTTTGCCTGTAGAATAAATGGGTGGAACTCCTGTTTCTTCTTGAAGGCCCCAATAATGTAAGAGATCAGCTGCAGTCAGTAGTGGATTTCCAACCAACCCCGCTAATCCACTGGCTGGAGCTTCACCATGGTATTGAGAGGCAAGAATGTCAGGCCTTGAGGCAGAAACATCAGCGTGTGTGGGGTAATTGTTTGCAATGATGATTATCATTTCTTCCCGTTGATACATTTGTCCACTTTCCCAATACACACCTCAAAAATGCTGGAGGCCACCCCGGTGGTTTTTTTGAGCCTCATACTGCATAGGTCACGTCTCAACCTTTGTAAAGGTTTTTGTACTTTCTTATCAGAAGGAGTGGCAACTTTTCAGTGCCATCCATGTTGGCACAGGCAACAGCAGGGACACGCTGCTTGCCTCGCTTTCCATAATGACATGTTTCATCTTTAAACATTAAAGACTAAACTGGCAGAAGACAGTATAATAGTCTGGTTTAAGCTGCAGTAAAAATATCTCTGAGTGCACAGTCATTCTGGCCATGGGCAAGATAATTTCACAGCCAATCATCAATTATTGCTGTTATAACTGCTGCACCCCCACCGCCTACCATGTGAATTCCATGTGGCCCATCATCTCTGGCAGGGTGACTCACCCTTTCTGCAGGATTGGATTGAGACGGAAACGTTCTCTGTTTGAGCTGCTTTGAACCACAAATGCAGAGGTTCTTCAACACCTTGCTGGAGGGAATGCCTGTTAGTCGAACTAAATCAAGATATTCAACTTCTGCTTCAGAAGGACTGACAAACTGAATGGTAGAGAAAAAAACTTCTTATTGATGTCTGCTTTCTGCTTTGCACCACCACTTGCTGTATCAACTTCACTCCCTTGTTGATGCTATAATTTTTAAATTTCACACAGCTTTCACTATGCTTGGAGCCATTGAACATACTTTGAAAGGGAGATCTAGTTATCAGATGATGGCTTGTCCAGAGCTCTGTGATTTTGCACTGCAATCCTCTTGATTGGTAAGCGTGTTCATACGACAAATTTACACAAGTTTGGCTAATGTGGAATTACCACACCGGAATTTCGATTTATCACAGGTAATGGATTAGCTATTTGTCTGGCAGGAATGGATGACAATTTTCATACAACTGGAACTGGTATGAGGGGAGAGTGACTGCCCGTGACATCAAGGCTGTATTTGACCAAGTGTGGCATCAAGGACTCCCCATCAAAACCGGAATCAATGGAATCAGGAGTGGATGATAGCTAAATGATAGTGAAAACTCAGCGAGTGTAATGCTGTTCAATAACAAGGAGAGATGGTTAGATTCTCTCTCATTATGATCAGAGCTGAGCTTCCGCTCCTACCCTGTGCTCCTGCCCACTTCTACATATGCCCCGATTCCATAAAAGAACAAGTATTTAGCAAGCTCAGCCTTAAATACATTCAGTAATAAAGCATCCACCAATGAAGCTCATTGATGTAGGCTTTTCCAAAGTTTAAAAATCCTGAGCAAGGAACTTTCTCCTTATCTCAGTTCTAAGTAATCAGCCCCTTATCCTTATGTTTCCCAAGCCAGGGGAACTAATTTCTCTCAGTGTCTCCCCTGTCAAGTCTGTTCTTGCAGAATTGCATATGTTTCAATGAGATCACCCCTGTTCTTGTAAATTTCAGGGAGTATAGACCCACCTTAGTCAGCATTTCATCATTAACCAACTCCTTAATTCTAGGAATCTATTGAACCCTTGCAAACCTGCCTCAAAGGCAAGACCATCTTTCCTTAGATAAGGAAATCAAAACATCACATAATGTTATACGTAACGTCTCAACAAAATCCCATAAAATGGTAGCAAGGCTTCCTTATTCTGGTACTGCAAAGACTTTGCAAAAATTACCAATATACCATTTTCTTCACTCTTTGCATGATGTACTTGCACATTGTGCTTGTGTGTACAACTATCCTCCGGAAGTAAACATTTTAAAGTTTCCACCTCTTAAATAACATTCTGCTGTTCTATTCTTACTATCAAAGTGAATAACCTCATAATTGTCCACATCTGTCAACTTGTTTCCCTTTCATTCAATATGTTTATATCTCCTTGTGCTCTCCTCACAGCTTACCTTCCCACCTTGCTATGATTCATTACAAACCTGGATATTTTAGACTCTCAGTCCCTTTATCTGAGTCACTAATAGAAATTACAAACAGTGGAAACTCCAACACTGATCCCTGCAACACCTTAAGCTTGTCATTCTTATTGGTGCCCTAGTTGCCCTCTATTTATTTCAAAAGAGTTTTACTGCAAATGTGCACATTAATATCGTAAATTGTGTACAAAAAATATATAACACACCATATCTCAGAACCATTTCAAAATGCTTCATAGACAGTGTGTTTCGGAATATAGCAGATATTTTCACAAGAGTAAATAATAAATACAATTATCATTAAAAACCTACCTCCTAAAACTCTTGCACACAGACTTTGCTCGATTACATGTAGCCACGGGGGAGTTGTTAAAATACCAATTTAGCTGAATCGGTAGACTCCTTGTGCTGTTAGCAAAAGCTGTGCAATTAATTGTTCTATTTTCACCTAAACATTGAAATAATCACATATCAATGGATATTAGTAACAGTTGAATAAATCTTGAACAACTTAATTCAAATTAGTTATTTGAAAATACCACAAAAGATTTTATTTTACACTTTGATTGCAGAATTTATATTTCACTTAAACCTTAATAATTACTATAAAATAATTCTGAAAGTAAAGTGCTTATGTGAAAAGTGATGCGTACTGAGTATTGTTGTTGGAACCCTATTGTTTCATTCATTGGAATGGAAATTGCTGGCTGGACCAGCATTTATTGCACATCGCTAATTGCCCAGAGGGCAGTTAAGAGTCATCCACATTAATGTGGGTCTGTAGACCAGACAAGGACAGCAGATTTACCTCCCTCTAGGGCATTAGAGAACCAGGTGGGTTTTTCCCCTGACAATAAGCAATGGTTTCATCATCATCTGATTCTTAATTCCAGATTGTCACTGAATTCAAATTCCACCATCTGCCATGGCAGGATTCAAACCCAGGTCCCTGAATTAAAAGACCAGTTATAATGCCATTAGGCCATTAGAGGCACATTTAATCTGTGTTGTAATTCAATAAGATTTTGGCCTGTCTTCTACATTCAATTCTACTTTATTGCTTTTTACCATATCCATTGATTCCCAAAAAATTAGTGCCCAGAATTTATCAATCTGAGTCTAAAATCCATGCAGCCTACATCCACTGCACTGCCCTTATTACTTCCTCAAAGAATTCAGTTAAGTTAGTAAGACATGACATTCTCTTAACAAAACCAAATGATGCTGACTATCCACAATTAATGCGTATCTTTCCAAGTTGCATTTAACCCTATCTCAAAGTTGATTCTAGTAATCCATCTGTCACCAAAGTTGGCGTATGGGAGATGTTCCGTTATTGATTGAGGTATTGAATACAAAAGCAGGAATGTAATGCTAGAACTACATCAGACACTATTTAAGCCACTCTGGAGTTTTATGTACACTTTTGATTACTGTATTACAGGAAAGATGTAATGCTATGGAGAGCGTACAGAGAAGATTTACAAGAATACTGTCAGGGATTGAAAATTACAGCTATGAGGAAAGATTGCATAGGCTAGAGTTGTTTTCCTCAGAACAAGGTCAGAAATCACACAACACCAGGTTATAGTCCAACATGTTTATTTGAGAACACAAGCTTGCGGTGTCTTAGTCCTTCTTCAGGTGTTAGTTAGTGAGAAAGGTAGCATCAGATACAGAATTTATAAGTAAAAGATCAAAGGATCACACCATTGATGAGGATATACTAAACAAAGCTAAGATGCTGTTAAATCTTTAATCAGTTAGAAGATTTTAATTGATTAATATGTATATATAAATCCCCAAATTCCTTTCAAGTCCCTGCCCTGCGAGAACTAAAGGTTTTATCAGTGTAAAGAAGAGGTGACATCCTAGGTCAGACAATGCATGGCAGGTGTGAGGCCGCATCCGGAATCTGTTTGCGTTTTGATTTGGAGTCAGACTGGTTCTATTTCCAAAGCAGGAAGCCACAAAATGCCACATTGACGACTGTTCATAAACTGTGTGCCTCATGAACCAAATTGGATGCATCTGCAAATACAGTGCTTGTGTGTGTGTGTGTGTGTGCGTGTGCGTGTGCGTGTATGTGTGTTTGAGGGAGAGTGAGTGTGCGTGTGGAGAGAAAGAGCGTGTGTAGGGGAGAGAGAGAGAGAGAGACAGAGAGAGTGTGAGTGAGTGAGTGAGCGAGCGAGCACGTGCATGGGGGAGAGACACTGCATGCACTTGAGAGGATCCTCACGAGATGTGCGTGTGCGTATGCACTCTATCTCAAACACGTGCATGCATGCACAAACATGCGCGCACACACGCGTGTGAATCTATGGAATGAATTAGTATTTGCAGATGCATTCGATTTGGTTCAGGAAGGACAATTTATGAACGGTCTGTCAGGGAGGCGTTTTGTGGGCTCCTGCTTTGGATACAGAACTAGTCTGACTCCAAACCAAAACACAACATATTCTAAACAAGGCCTCACACCTGACATGCATTGTCTGACCTAAAATGTCACCTCTTCTTTACACTGATAAAACCTTTAGTTCTCACAGGACAGAGACTTGAAAGGAATTTGGGGATTTAATATACATATTAATCAATTCAAACCTTCCAAATGATTAAAGATTTAACAGCATCTTAGGTTTGTTTAGCACATCCTCATCAACGGTGTGGGCCTTTGATCTTTTACTCATAAATTCCGTGTCAGATGCTACCTCTCTCACTAACAACTGAAGAAGGAGCAAGACTCCAAAAGCTTGTGTTTTCAAATAAACCTGTTGGACTATAACTTGGTGTCGTGTGATTTCTGACCTTGTCCACCCCAGTCCAACACCGGCACCTCCACATCATTCCTTAGAACAGAGGTGTTTGTAGAGTGACTGGACAATGTGTACAAAATTTTGAGGGGCTGGAGTAGAGTGTACACAGAAGATCTTTTCCCCAGCAGAAAGGTCAATTACCAGGGGATACATTTAAAGTGACTGGCAGAAGGACAAGACAGGATATGAGGAAACAAGGTGTAGAGCTGGATGAACACAGCAGGCCAAGCAGCATCAGAGGAGCAGGAAAGCTGACGTTTCGGGTCTGGAAAATTTTCTGAAGAAGGATCCAGACCTGAAACGTCAGCTTTCCTGCTCCTCTGATGCTGCTTGGCCTGCTGTGTTCATCCAGCTCTACACCTTATTATCTCCGATTCTCCAGCATCGGCAGCTCCTGCTATCTCAGGATATGAGGAAGCCCTTTTTCATCCAGAAGGCAGTGCATGCCTGGAATTTACTCCTTAGTTTACCGGTTGAGCCAGAAACCCTCAACTCATTTAAAAGGAACCTGGATCTGTGCCTGAAGACCAGGTGCCTGCAAAGAGGGATTCGAATGAACAGCTAGTTTATTCAGCTTACACAGCATCAAAGTGAACGCTTCCTCCACTGATAATACCGAGTTCTCTTCGTCTCACTGTTATATTTACAGTAACTTTTGGGTCATTAAAGTGCTAAACATTAATTGGCTTGGAGAGCTCAAGAATGAGAAACAAATGAAGGATATAAAAAATTGTACAGAAAACCAGTAAAAGGAAGAATATGTGATACAGATTATCAGCAAGGTTGATGGATAAAGAAATTTATGATGGCATTCAAAAAGGGATGAGACAGATTCACATCAGCAAAATCACCATGGTTAGGTTTAGGATATGGTATTTTTGTATAATGAATTTTTGAGAAACTGGATTACAAAGTGAAATGGAACAATGGTTTGGCCTGAAAATTATAACGCTCATGTCAAAAATGCCTGAATCAAGCCCAGTTTGATTTATCTATGTCTAGTTCAGAAACCATTTGGAAACTGGCTACATTTCACAGATTTTAAACTTAAGAATCCTATGCATTGCAGTTGAAATCAAGACCCTGGGTCCACTTTTGTTTGTCATTTATATAAATGATTTAGATGAGAATACAAAGGGTATGGTTAGTAAGTTTGCAGATGACACCAAGATTGGTATTATAGTGGACAATGAAGAAGATTATCTAAGATTACAAAGGGATCTTGATCAATTGGGTCAGTGAGATGAAGAGTGTAAATGGAGTTTAATTTGGATTGTGCGAGGTATTACATGTGGGTAAAACAAACAAAGACAAGACTAATAGAATTAAAAGTAGGGCCTTGGGCAGTGTTGTAGAACAGAGACACCTAGGGGTTCAGGTACATAATTCTTGGAAGTTTGCATCACATATAGATAGGGTAGTTAAGAAGGCCTCTAGCATGCTTGCCTTCAATGCTCAGACCTTTGAGTATAGGAGTTGGGACATTATGTTAAGGTTGTACAAGACATTGCTGAGGCCACTTCTGGAATACTGTGTCCAGTTCTGGTCACCCTGTTATAGGAAGGATATTATTAAGCTGGAGAGGGTTTAGAGGAGATTTACCAGGATGTTGCCGGGAATGGAGGGTTTGATTTATAACAAGAGGCTGGATAGGCTGGGACCTTTTTTCCACTGCAACGTAGGAGGTTGAGAGCTGACCTTATAGAAGTTTATAAAATAATGTAGATTATAGATAAAGTGAATGGCAGGTGTCTTTCCCTGGTTGGTGGGCTTGTTGGGAGGGGGGATTTCAAGACTGGGGGGAATATTTTAAGGTGAGAAGAGAAAGATTTAAAAAAGATATGACGGGCAATTTTTTTTTACACAACGAGTGGTTCGTGTGCGGAATGAACTTCCAAAGCAAGTGGTGGATGCACATACAGTTATGACATTTAAAAGACGTAAGTACATGAATAGGAAATGTTTGGAGGGATATGGCCAAGCACAGGCAGGTGGGACTGCTTTAGTTTGGAAATACAGTTGGCATGGACTGGTTGGTCCAAAGGGTCTGTTTCCGTGCGAGGTGACTCTATGACTCTATGGCCTTGTGACGTGTTCTTTTCCATTGCAATTCATCTCTTCTGTTTGCATACATTCTAAACATTCTAACAATCCATAAAGGTAACAAGTCACAAAGGAAAAAAATACAGTACAGTAGAAACTTTACCTACCTAAAACCACTTCAATACGTTCTTCAAGTGGGTAAATTAAATTTGGTTTGGCAGGAGATTCTTGAAAAGAAATTTTTAAATAAGTAAATGGAAGTAAATTCGTAAGTTCGTTGCTTAATGTAACTACACAATAAACTTCATTTATATAGAACTTTAATGTAATATAATGTTTCCAAGCACTTTTCAGAGGTGAAAGTAATCTGTGCGACAGGAATGATGCATAATAATTCAAAGCATGATCAAATAGGTAGGTTTTGAGAAGGAAGGCTGAGATAGATATTTGGGGGAAAAAATGTCAATTTATAGAGGAGTTAACCTGGTAAAATGTGTTCTGTTACAGTATAAGAAAAAAAAGGGATGGTTCCTGAAATGTATCATTTCCAGAATTGACCACTCGGGGTATACTGTAAAGCCCTGTGCATGGTGTGGAATCTTATTAACCTGGAGCACCACAGCAGAAACCCAGATTTTCAAAGTTACTCCTAATAAGCCATCCTCCATAAAGGTGGCAAATTCTATGATATCTAGTTTAAGTATAAATCTTCTAAACATTAACGTATATCTTACATTGCAATAGTGACTATACTTCAAAAGTACACCATGGAGTGTAAGGTACTTGAGAATGTCTGGAGGTCATAAAAGATTCAGAATAAATGCAACCCTTTCTTTCAAAGATTCCACATTGAGCTATTTTGGTATTCATCATTCTTTGTATAAAATCTATTTTTTGCATACCCTACGGTAAGTGTATTTTCAATTGGAACATTTATCCCTCCCGAAATGTGAACTCTGAAATGTCCAAGTATATACTTTTGTTGCCTAAGATCCTTATCACATTTTTTTAAAACTTTCAATCTTTCTTGGGATGTGGGCACTTCTGCATTATTGCCCATTCATATCTACCCTTAAGAAGGTAGTGGTGACCCCCTTTCAAAACTGCTATTATCTGTGCGGAGTAGATACACACACACAGCTGTTGGGAAGGAAACCAGTGTCAGATCAATTCTGGGTTTTAATCTCATCCTACTTTCTCTGGAGATTCTCTGGTTTGATACAACTGAATAGCTCGCTAGGTCATTTCGGAATGCAGTCAAGATTCAACCACATCACTGAGTGTCAGGAATCACCTGTTGGATATGAAAATAGGCAGATATACCTCCTCATTTCCTAACACTCCACATGTTTTAGGATTATGCTTAAATAACTTTTTTTTAAAATTCGATCTTAAGACCTAGGTCAACATTTATTACTCTGCAGAATATTTTTTCTTGAAGATATCCAGAAAATGCATGAGAATATACAAATATGGAAAGATGTGAATTCGGATCAGGTCATTCAGCCCCTGTGCCTCATTCACCATTTTGTAAGTTCATCGCTAATCCGATTGTGGCCTCAATTCTATTGTCTACACCCTTTACCCTTTACTCCCTGGTCAATCAAAAATCTATTTAACTCAGTCTTTAAAATGTACAATGAGCCAGGCCCCCGCTACTCTCTGGGACAGGATTCATGACTCATGACCCTCTGAAAAAAAAACAAATCTCCCACCTTCATCTGAGAGACTCTTTATTTTAAAACTGTGTCCTCTCGTGGTAGGTATTCTTACAACCATCCATTAACTAAATGCTTGTTAACCTGGTAATTAATAGAAGATAGATATTCCACAAGCATACAATTTACCAAGGATTCCTCTGATCTGGTCATCAAGAAATTAGTAAAATATATTACCTTTCAATGTCAATGTCAATGTCCTTGTAGTTTTGTATTGTACTCCTGAATGTTCAAGTGTAAGTGTACAAGTGTAATATCCTGCATTTTCTTTTTTAAGTTTATTAAACAGTAGTGATGATCCTGTGTAAATGTAATCCTGACAATCCTGTAGAATGAATCAACCAGATGTTGCTAATATTCAGACATAAGCAGACAAAACTTGTGACAAGATCATCAAAAACAGAGCAAATCTTAATTGAAAAGAAACTGAAAGAACTGCAGATGTGGGCAATCTGAAACAAAAAAACTGAAATTCCTGGAAAAGTTCAGCAGGTCTGGCAGCATCTGTGAAGAGAAATCAGAGCTAATGTTTTGGATCCACTGACCATTCTGCAGAACTGATGGTAGCTAGGAAAAGAATGTTTTTTATGCAGAAGACTGGGTGGGACGAGAGGGGAGGAATAAACAATAGGTGGAGATAGAGTCCAAAGAGAGAGGGAAAAACAGTTGGACAAACAAAGGAGTGGATAAAGACCAGCCTAGGAGAATGAATAAAAACTAAAAGAACTGCGGATGCTGTAAATCAGGAACAAAAACAAAGTTGCTGGAAAAGCTCAGCAGGTCTGGCAGCATCAATGAAGGAAAAAACAGAGTTAACATTTCTGGTCCGGTGACCCTTCCTCAGAACTATGCTAGGAGAATGAATAACTGCTAATAGGGACTATTAGTAGCTATCAAAGGGTTGTGTGAGGTAGCAGCCCATATATTGGCAACGCCTGGTGTGTGGGGTTGGGAGAAAGCATGGAGAAAGCTGCTCAAACCCTAAAATGATTGAACTCGATGTTAAGTCCAGAAGGCTGTAGGGTTCCCCAAGTGGAAAGTGAGGTGCCGTTCTTCCAGCTTACACTGGAAGCTTTTCTAGAGCACTGCAGCAAGCCTGAGGCAGAGATGTTGGCCAGGAAACACGTCAACTGGAAGGTCAGGGTCTTTTTTGCAGACAGAATGCCGGTGCTCTGCAAAGCGGTCACCCAACATGTGCTTTGTTTCCCCAGCGTAGAGGAGACCACATTGTGAGCAGCCAATAGAGATTAAGTGAAGTGCAGATAAAGTGTGGCTTCACCTGGACACTGTGTGCCTTTGGATAGTGAGGACGTAAATGGGCATCCCGCAGGGGTGACAGAAATGGCGGCTATTGATCCACTGGATGTGAATGTTTATCCATTTATCCAGGCTGGCCACCAATATCCTTTACAAACACAATGACTCCACAGTTACCTTGACAAGACATCCTCACACCCTGCTTCCTGTAAATACTCTATTACACTCTCCCAGTTCCTCCATCTCAGTCACATCTGTTCTGATGATGCCAACTTCAACAAGGGAACCTCTGAAATGTCCACCTTCCTCCTCAACCGAGGATTCCGCAGGACCGTAGTTGACGGGGCCCTCAGCCGTGTCCAACCCACCTCCTGCACTTCAGCCCTCAACTCCTCTCTTCCCTCCCATAACAGCGATAGGATCCCCTTGTTCTCACCTACCATCCCACCAGCATCCACATCCAGAGGATCATTAGCTGCCATTTCTGCCAACTCCAGCAGGATGCCACCATCAGACACAGAGACAAAGTCATACAGCACAGAAACAGACCCTTTGGTCCAACTTCTCCACACCAACCAGACATCCCAATCTGACTTGGTCCCATTTGCCAGCATTTTGCCCATATCCCTCTAAACCCTTCCTATTCGTGTACTCATCCAGATGCATCTTAAATGTAATTTTACCCACCTCCAGCACTTCCTCTGGCAGCTCATTCCATATATGCACCACCATCTGCGTGAAAAAGCTACCCCAGGTCCTTTTTAAATCTTTCCCCTCACACCTTGAACCTATGCCCTCTAGTTTTGGACTCTCCTACCCTAGGAAAAATACCTTGGCTATTTATCCTATCCTAGGAATACCCCTCAGCCTCCGACACTCTCGGCAAAGTAGCGCCAGCCTATTCAGCCTCTCCCTAAGACTTAAACTTTCCAGTCCCAATAACATCCTTACAAATCTTTTCTATCCCCTCTCAAGTTTAACAACATCCTTCCTACAGAAGTATGACCAGAATTGTATTCAGTATTCTCAAGGTGGCCTCACCAATGTCCTGTACAGCCACCACGTGATATCCCAACTGGCATACTCAACATATGTTCCCCTCCCCTCCTTTGTCAGCCTTCTGCAAGGACCATTCCCTTTGGATACACTGGTCCACTCCTCCCTCACTCCCAACACATTCCCACAGCACTTTCCCCTGCAACTGCAGAGGGTGTAAAATCTGCCCATGTACTTCCTCAGCACAAGCTGGAAGCACAGCACCTCATTTTCTGTTTAAGAACTCTGCAGCCGTCTGGACTTAAAATCAATTTCAACAATTTTAGGGCTTGAGCCCCCTTTACCACGCTTTCCCCCTCCCCCACCCCCACCCCCATCCCCACCCCCACCCTACCCACTAGGCCTTGCCATCATATGGACTGCTACCACACACAGCTCATTGTTAGCTATTAATAGTCCCCATTAGTAGCTATTCATTCTCCTAGGCTGGTCTTTATTCACTCTTGTCTGTACAACTGCTTTTGTCTCTCTTTGGGCTCTACCTCCACCTAACGTTTACTCCTCCCCTTCACCCCCACCCTATCTTCTGCATTAAAAAAAACACCCTTTTCCTAGCTACCATCTATTATGAGGAAGGGTCACCAGACCAGAAACATTAACTCTGGGTTCTCTCCACAGATGCTGCCGGACCTGCTGAACTTTTCCAGCAATTTCTGTTTTCATTTTAAATCTTAATGAAGTTTAAGTTTCCATGCAGTTTTTAATTGCATTTCACAAAAATAGGTAGTGAGGATGACACAAGGAATCTGCAGGGGGATATAGAAAGGTTAAGCATATCGTCAAAAGTTCAGTAGATGGAGTATAATGTGGGAAACTATGAGCTTTTGCGCTTTGGCAGGTAGAATAGAGATACTTAATACTACTTAAAAGAAGGAAGATTGTAAAACGCTGCAGAACAGTGGAATTTGGGAGTCCTCACACATGAATCACAAAAAGCTAGCATCCAAGACCAGAGGGAATGTTGGCCTTTATTTCAAAAGGAATGGAGTATAAAAGTAGGGAGGTTTTTCTAAAACCATACAAGGCAATATTCAGACCACCACTAGACTACTGTGCAGAGTTTTAGGTCACTTATGTAGGAAAGATATACTTGTGTTGGAGGCAGACTAGAGAAGGTTTACTCAGTCTGTCCATTCCTGGTATCAACCATCTTATGAAGAGAGTTTAAGTTGTTTGGGCCCTAATGCATTGGAATTTAGAAGAATGAGAGGTGACTTTATTGAAACATGCAAGATTCATAGGACGTTTGACAGGGCAGATGAGGAAACAATGGTTCTCCTTGAGAGAGAGTCTAGGAATCCTCCTACACCTTATGGTCATTTCATTTGCGATCAAAGACAATATTGGTTATAATGAAAATATTTAGTAACATTAAATTAGATGTGAATAATGATTTGAATTTAAAGGTACACGAGTGACTATTACAGTGAAATCATTAACATTTCAATTTTCTGAAGCACAATGCTGCACAGGTTTAGAAATAAACAGATTCTAGCAATTGATCTGTACAATATTGTTGAGATTAGTATGAAATTAAAAGATATACCATCATGCGGTAATTTACCAAAGGGGGCCTTCATCATCTTAGGTCCTCTTTATGGTCCCAAATAAGCACCAGCCTTTTCTGTATATTCCACCTTGTCATTGCAATATCCCCAGGTTGTCTAACACCACCTCAACTATAGGGGTGTGGTCTTTACAGTCACCAGTTTCTGTCCTTAATTGTAGCAGAATAAATGGCATGACTTGTATTTCCCAACTGCCCATTTTTTTTCATTAATTCATTGGTGGTAGGCGTTGCTAGCAACACCAGCATTTATTGCCCATCCCTAACAGCCTGGAGGGCAGTTAATGGTCAACCACATTGCTGTGGGTCTGGAGTCACATGTAGGCCAGACCAGGTAAGTTTCTTTCCCTAAAGGACACTACTGAACCAGATGGGCTTTTCTGACAATCAACAATGGATTCATTGTCACCACTAGACTCTTAATTCTAGATTTTTATCGAATTCCAATTCCAACATCTGTCATGGCCAGAATTGAAGCCAGTCCCCAGAATATTATCTGGGTCTGTGGATTAATAGCTCAGTGATATTACCACTAGGCCATTGCCACCCCCATTTGTCTTTGAAGTAGGGTTGCACTGAAGAGACAATAGTTAAGAAAACAGAAACACTGGCTTAGTGACAAGTTCCTTCTCTTTCTCTCCCTTGATTTGCAAATCAAAGTCAATTTGCAGCTGACTTTGATCCCACTACCCTGAACTACTGCCACATGAGTATCCAACTTCTATACTCAAATAGCAACCACAACACCATTTTCATCCCTTTCCATTAGGTTGTCATTGATGCTTATTCCTGTGCAGCCATCCTAACAGGTAGTAACTGGGGGATGACAATTTTGAGAGTTCGTTAAAGGGACCCTCTGCTGCAGTGAAAGGTGGCAGCAACTTTGGGTCTTGACATAACAAGGTGTGGAGCTGGATGAACACAGCAGGCCAAGCAGCATCAGAGGAGCAGGAAGGCTGACGTTTCCAGCCTAGACCCTTCTTCAGAAATCCGGGAGGGGAAGGGGGTTCTGAAATAAATAGGGAGAGAGGGGGAGGCGGATAGAAGATGGATAGAGGAGAAGATAGGTGGAGAGGAGACAGACAGGTCAAAGAGGCGGGGATGGAGCCAGTAAAGGTGAGTGTAGGTGGGGAGGTAGGGAGGAGATAGGTCAGTCCAGGGAGGACGGACAGGTCAAGGGGGCGGGATGAGGTTAGTCAGTAGGAGATGGGGGTGGGGCTTGAGGTGAAGGGAGGGGATAGTTGGGAGGAAGGACAGGTTAGGGAGGCGGGGAGGAGGTAGGCTGGTTTTGGGATGCGGTAGGGGGAGGGGAGATTTGGAAGCTTGTGAAGTCCACATTGATACCATTGGGCTGCAGGGTTCCCAAGCGGAATATGAGTTGCTGTTCCTGCAACCTTTGGGTGGCATCGTTGTGGCACTGCAGGAGGCCCAGGATGGACATGTCG